TTATTATTATTATTGTTATTATTATTATTATTATTATTACCCTTGCCCACCTCCAGGTGACATTCAGGTACAGTGACATCAACGACAACCCTCCCTACATCGGCTGGCCACAGATCCCTACAACAGTGCAGGTAGCCGAGAACGCCAGGCCGCCACAAGTGCTACTGTCTCCCGGTGTACGGGATCTAGATACTGCGGGAAAATCATTGTATAACTGCTCGTTGACAGAAAAGGGGACTAACACAAGGAATCAGATTCTACGTGAGTACCTTTAGTTTTCTTCTTTGCTTTTCTAAGTATCCATTTCTGAACTAGTACTGTCCTCTGGGAAGCATTAAGTTGGCTCACTGGCAGCAAATCATTGTATACCTGCTCGCTGGCGGAAAAAGGGATTGGCACAGGGGTTGAGAAGCCATGTGAGTGCCTTTAGTTATATATTTCTGTTTGTTTTCTCAGTATTCTATTCTTAGTTGTCCTTTGTGAAGCATGGAGTTGGCTCACAAAATAAGAAAAAAGGAAAAAAAGTGCAACATGACGACAATCTGTCCAACCCCCCCCCCCTAAAAAAACCCTAGAAAAACAAAAAAACAGAAAGAAAAACAAAACAGTAACAATAGAAAAACAACAACACCCCAATCAACAAAAAACAAACAAACAAATAAAACCGCACAATCAATGACAATAACAACAATAAAAAAACCCAAACACCAACAACAAACAAACAACAAAACAAAACAAGGGGAAAAAAAGGGCAACATGACAACCAGAAAATGTCTTTAAACGACTTCAACATTCATTCGTTGACATAGAGGAGCCAAGCTCCAGACAGACCCAGTTGGAGAACATCAATCACAGGGGGTAGCAAATCATAATAACGATTATAATTATTGAAACCAAGAGAAAAGCTCGTGAGATGCGCACTTCCACAAGCGGAATTGAAGATTTTTAACTAAATGTTCGTAATATTACAATTTACTTTTCTCTGGTCTCATTGGCCACAACAAAAGCCATAAGTCTTCCTTTTCTTATTTCTTCTATTTCCCTTGAGAGGTGTTCTCCTCTGAAGATAAATTATTGGTCACCGTTTGTCAATGACGATCAAATTTTCTGTTTGTACTATTTTGTTTTGTTTTGTCTGCTTAAAAAAATTCCCTGATCCGTCAGATTGAATGTTTTAGTTTTTAAAAAGCTGTAAAAAAAGAAACCAAGATTTCTTAACGTTTAATTCGATTAATAGATTTTGAATAGTTAATCTTGTTTCTTAATTTTCCTAGCCTAGGATCGGCTAATTAAATCGTGGAGCCAATCTTGTGTTTGGTAATCGAATTCACCTGTTCTGCATACAGCTATGTAGAACCTAACCTTAAAAAGACAAACATCGGGATTTTAAAATGTGTATTCCTCTTTTTCCACAGCTTTTGTGACTGACGAAAACTGTACTCTTATTCTGAATTCGTCTCTTGACTTCGAACGCAAGAACGTCTACAACCTCATCCTCGATGTAAGAATGTAACGCGTTGTTTGTATCGGTAAAAAGAAACCCCTAAAGGTACCCTAGAGCATCAGTTTTAGCCAAGTAGCTGTGTTTGCTCTTACCTAGAACCTATGTTATGACATTTCTAACAACTTTTCTAACGAGGTCAGATGAGGTCCTGACGAAGAAAAAAGTCTTCGACAATTTCTTTTTCAACCGACTAATAACTTAGAAATCAGTAACAAACAAATGTGAGGCATCCTGGTGGAATCAGGCGCTCGTCAAAATAACAGAATCGGAGAAACAGGCATTTTCCAGCCAGTTAGGCAATTTTTTTATTGAATTCTTTTTGGGGGGG